GTTCCTGTGTAGTTATTCATTAATGATGGAACAGTATTCTAAAGTGTTACCTAATGTTTTTAGCATGACTTTGAGAAAAATTAATGTTACTTAATGATAGACTTCTTCACGGCTTATGTTTGCAAATTTCATTTCATTCTGTAGCCTAGCTACTTTTTCTACAGTTCTGTGTTATGTTAAATGCTACTGTTTCTTTTGCTACTGATCATTTCTTTTGCTACTGATCATTTTCTGACAGATAATATCATGATCTTTTAAGCGTCGGCGAAGCAGTGTTGCCAGATAAGGCTATGAAAACAAATAAAAATCTTTTGTAAATACGATAAGATAAAGATATCGCTAGCCCTAAACTGCAACTTCCCACTTTAATAACTTTCTAAACTAAAGTGTCAAATTAAAGGGGTCATATGATGCTTTTTTAAAGATCATTATTTTGTGTATTTGGTGTAACAGAATATGTTGACATGCTTTAATGTTCAAAAAACACATTATTTTTCAAATACTGTACATTATTGTAGGTCCTCTATGCCCCGCCTCTCTCAAACGCTTAGTTTTCTACAAAGTCCCTCCTTCCGACAAGCGCAGTCTGCTCTGATTGGCCAGCTGACCCAGTGCATTGTGATTGGCCGAACACCGCAAGCACTCGTCGGAAATGTAACGCCCCTTACCATAATCACGAGCTTCATCTTTCAAAATAAATGAAAAGACAGAGCCCGAAAGGGGAACAGAGTCGCGTGACAGACTAAAGAATATCTCTTTGGTTTTGAGACTTTAGTCTTTGCAACTTCAGGGATCTTATCTATGCACAATCAGCTTGTAACACTCCAAAGAGAAAGGAAAACTTGAAACCGCATCATATGACCCCTTTAAGTGAAAAAGACAAGTCCAAGAACGCTTACAATAGCTGGATCTGGCAACAGATTTTGCACACAAGTGCCCTGTTTTGCAACGATCATTTTCATACGATTCTTGCAAACTGTCTAAACTTAATTATATATGCAGACACACTTATGAGGAATTTTAAACATCAGATTACAGTCATTCAAAGAACAAATTTTATTTCTGATCATGAAAAATGTACCGATTTCCTGGCGGTGCCGTATGAACGGCCATGAACACACTAATATTTTCAATAAAGTTGCATTGAAACGGTTTAGCCTATTGTGCCATCTTTCTCTCCCGCAACAGCCCTTAAGTTAGTATGCCTATCTGTGCAGTTTTACAGTCAGCACGCATGAAAACTGTACAGTGAGTGTTAGCTGTGGACTGAACTGTTGTGAAAAACGAAACCAAGGAGACGGCGCTCAGGAAGCCGCAGGCTAAAATAAAGTGCCATATACATTGAAATGTGCTCTGAGCTTCCTTCTGCAGTGATTGGTTCCTCAAAAACATGAGAATTTCCTCTCGCTTCGGTCCCGAGCTGCTTCCTCGAGCGCTCCGGTTGTCCCGACACCAGCTGCAGTCAATCTGAGAAACAAAAGATTCCTGGAGAAATGGAAGAACATTTATGAGACTATGTCTGCGTCCCAATGTGCATACTATCCATCCTAAATTCTATGTGATATTAGTCATTTTCAATACTATCCCTGATGAAAAAAAACAGCATATGCTGGTTAGGCATGTTTTGAAGCTGGGATGCTGGTTTGAGCTGGTTTAAGCTGGTTTATGCTGGTCCTTTGCTGGTTTATGATGGTCCTTAGATGGTCATGTGCTGGTCTTAAACTGGTTGGACCAGTTTAGGACCAGCACATGACCATCTTAAACCAGCTAAGGACCAGCATAAACCAGCAAAGGAACAGCTTAAACCAGCTCAAACCAGCATCCCAGCTTCAAAACATACCTAACCAGCATATGCTGTTTTTTTCAACAGGGATTTAGGGTAGATAGGGTGGATATGCACATTGAGACGCAGGGACTGACAAGTTTTACTGTTTTTAATTTGACAGAATATTAGCTAAATAACCATGAACATAATCTTAACTTGAAACACAAAAGATAAAATGGAATATCAACCAAATGCTATTATCATGATTTTAAAAAGGTCTTTACAGTATATTCCCACAACCAAACGTGTATGTGATGTTTTTAAGAGTGTGTTCATACACAGACAGCATTTACATGCATTCCTTTAGCAGACACTTAAATAAAGTGAAAGACACAGTGAGGGAATCCTAGGATTGCTGAGTCATCCATGACTAAATCCCCCAAACCACAATCATCGTCATTAGAATCATTCTCTCCATCTCTGCATGATGTCATGTTTATGGATGAGTGGGTAGGAAAACCTGAAACATGTGCAGACAAATAAAACACCTCAAATACTCTCACACAAATGCCTAATGTATTCGTGATTTAAAGGTGCAGTAGGAGATCTTGGAAAATGCTAACTTTAGCCTGATAGCAAAAAGTACCAAAGATTTAAACTACTTCAGTCTGTGTGCACTGAATTTATTTAATACACGAGTTTCACAATTTGAGTTGAATTACTGAAATAAATGAACTTTTCCACGACATTCTAATTTATTGAGATGCACCTGTATTGCACCTTTAAGCACATAAAGAAGGTTTTATTCAAAATTGCAATTAATTGTGACAATGGTTTTTGACTCTTAAGTGGATACTGAACAGTCCGGAGGTAACAAATCACAGATCTCTTGTAAACCATCAGAAACACACTATGATATGTGTTGTATGTTTGAGCTAGGAAAAACTATTTCAAACCCCCCCCAAAAAAACTTTTATATATTATAAAAACCGACCAAATATTATAATTAATGTAAAATAAGATTACAAATGAAATCTACTTTATAATTATTAAGACAATAAAAGTAATATAGTGTTATTTGCTGTTTCTTTGTAAAGTGTTTGTTAAATTAGGCATTTCTGAGTGAAATTTATTATAATTATTTTCAGTGTAACGTAATATACAAATGAAATAAAATAGAACTATTAAACAAAACCAAAAATATAATACATAAACTAGGGAAATAAGTAATTGAAAATGCATCCATTTGATTTTTATTTATTTATTTATTCATTCGTTTTATTATTAGTCTATTATTTATTTATTTATTTTAGTGCTGTCAAAAGATTAATCACGATATTTATTATGTGTATATGAATACACACACATGCAGTATATATTATGAAAATATTTACGTCTATATTTATATAGTTTATATTATAAATATATTTAATATTTTAACATAACCTATTTTTCTGAAATATACATGCATGTGTGTGTATTTATATATACATAATAAATATACACAGAACACACACACATATTATGTAAACAAAAACTTTTATTTTGGATGCGATTAATCATTTGACAGCACTAATTTATTTATTTGCAGTTGTGAGTTATCAGCGGTCAGATTCAAGAAATCAACATTTTAAAAACTGTCAAGATTGAGTGACTCCTGATTTACATTTATGCATTTGGCACCAAATGTGACTTCATGATTTATATTTTATCCGTCTGTATGGGAACATGGGATCGTCAAAACCATTAACCCACACCAGAAAACACCAGCAAAACCATTTCTAAGCATAACCGGACCATGATGGATCCTCATGTGACATCTGGAGAGTTTGAGGCTTCATAAACCCTGAGTGTCAGTACGCAGACGCTATTAAAAGTTACATAAACGCTGTGAGAAGTTTGTAAAAGTGTTGCGGGAAGCCAGTGTGGGCAGTGAGAGTATTTGGCTCGAGGACCAGGGTGTGTCTGTGGTCATTGACTTTGAGAAGAAACAGCAGCTGGAGGAGAGAAAAATAGTGATATTTGCGAGAACGAGAAAAAGAAATGCAGACAACATTGAAGAAACTGAGAATGTGCAGGATATAATTTTGTCCTTGCAGTGGGAGCATTTGTCCGCCGTCCAAGTCCAAAAAAACGTTTTGACTTCGGTCCCTCAGTCGGAGAGTGTTTTACTTGGAGACGGATGGAATGAGAATGAGAATCAGAAGGAAAAGAGGAGGAGCAGAATAAAAAAAGACAAAAAAAAAATTGTCTAGGAGACATCATGTTGAGGAGCAAGTTCGCTACCCTAATAAACCTTTACAAATACTCACACTCACTCATCCCAGATAACAACAAAGTTTTGCTAATGTTTCTGTTATGAAAACATTATTTTAAAACAAAAACTTTTCTGTGAATATTAGAGAAAACCTTAGGGTTCCATTTTAGCATATTTTAAACATTATGGAAATTTTACTTTTAAAAGTCCTACGAGGAGGTTTGTGCATCCCAGCTAACAAGGAATGTTCTAAAAACTTTGGCTAACGTTCTGGCAAGGTTCTCTCAAAGTTATGAACGAGCATTCTTCCAGTAAATGTATCTGTTCTCTAAATAAATAAATAAAAATATATTATTAAACTATTATGTCAAAAAAATGTTCCATAATATATATATATATATATATATATATACTGTATATATCATTTATGGAACATGTTTTATTTATTTAATTTATTTAGAGAACATTATTAGAGAACGGATAACTTTACTGGAAGAATGCTCGTTCTCAACTTTGAGAGAACCTTGCCAGAACGTTAGCCAAAGTTTTTAGAACATTCCTTGTTAGCTGGGATGCACAAACCTCCTCACTGTAAACACGTTCTGCCTACAGCATCTCTCCCTCAGCACAGACAACACCTCTTCTTTCACCTCCTCGCAGTCGAGCCACTGATCCTCTGTGTTTGGGAGCTTCAGGTTTAATGTCCCTGAAGGTCAAGGAGTCACAGGGAATCACGGGTGATCTGGGATATGGAACAGAAATGATCCATGTGGAATTCATCCTGGACCTTTAGAGAGTGAATCTCCTGGAATTACATTCAACCACGTATGTTAACATTTCAAGTTAGATCACTTTTAGATCACGTTCACAAGCCTACTGTAAAATATTTGTATTATTTTTTATACTGACCAAAAATCAACTCTGTTTTTTCCAGATGTAGGCGCGTGTCTGTGATTCTAATGAGTCCGCCCGTGCGCATGCGCTGTTCTGCGCGCTGAGCCGAGGCGCGTCTGGTCTGGAGTTTATTCATCAACGCACTAAAACGTTGGTATTATTCGGGGTTTAAGGTAAGTTTAAATGTTTATAACGTCCAAGAAATTTGTGTGGACAAATTATCAGACGGTTTAGAGACAAATGTGGAAGTTTCGTTATTTTATTCGGTTATTGTAAACAAACTAAAGGTTTGACGCTAAACTGAAGACTGAAGGAACGGTTATAAATAAACTGACACGTTATTCTGACATGGCTCATTCATAAGTGTGTTATTCGAATGAGATTTGAGGGATAAATTAACTTAATTATTACAAATATTCTAATAGGCTAAGTTCTAATAGGCTTCAGTTCGTTTTCTTTCTTTAGATTTTGGCGTGAAATGTGAACACAGTTTAATCAAACCATTTGAAGGTCTTCTGTCAAGCATACAAAAATAAATAAAAAAATAATATTACGAATAAAAAACGATGATACTAGGATGTTGTCAGACGGTTGCTGAGGTGTCTCTATGATTCTCTATTGGATCTGCTCTGACATTCAATATATCATTGTCATGTTTTAACCAGCTTTTGAAATAAAAGATTACTGCAAATTAAAACTTTTTCTTTTTTTTTGTATTTGTAAATATTTCTTATTTTGTATTTATGAAACAGATTGCTAAAAATTTACTTAAAATATTATTAATGTTGATGCCAAGATGTTGCTATGCAATGAAAAATCATGATAAAAAGTACAATGCATGAAGAAGAATGCATGGCCTGTGAGTGAATGAGAGAGCGGCATGAGCTAAACACACACAGAATGTTTCCATTACTTCCCACTCACTTCTTCAGTCTGTCTGATGGACTTGGTGTGATTAAAGGTGTAATTAAACTCCAGCAATAACAGTCTGGATGGAGACATGTGGTTGAACTGTGTTAAACTGTGTAAATGAGTCTGTGAGGAGATACTTTATTCTGTATTTTCATGAAGATTATGCATGTTTTCCCCCAGAATAATTCACATTATTATAATATCTCTGAATATTTAATTTATTTTATTTTGTTCTTATTGTAATATAGGAATTGAATATTGGATTTTTTTTTTTTAAATATTAAAAAAAAATAATATTATTTAAGTTTTGACTATAATAGATACTATACACCATATATATATATATATATATATATATATATATATATATATATATATACACACACACATACACATACATACACTGTATATGTATAAAGATGTCATGGTATTACTTCAGTCGTCTGGTGATTGACTCTCTCTTTCTCAGGACGCACGTCATGGTGTGAAAAGAAAATACTGACTGATGGGCAGCTAAACGGATTGAGACGGTCCGTCGAGAGAAAGAATAAGAGAAGATAGTGAGAGAGAGAGAGCGAGGACGAATAATCCAGCTAATCCTGGCCAATCCCAGCCGTTCAGACTCCTCTGGAGCCACAGACAAAACACGGCGGATCACACACACATCTGATGTGCTTTAGACAGGCTGTTTTGGGGATCCTGGGATGCCAAAGGCCTGCGGTGGTATTCGTAAACACTAAAACAACAGATTAGAGTGACCGTTGGATGCCAGGTGTGTTAGGACAGAGCTGAAGGAAAAGGACAATGCTGAATGTCATTCATCTAACAAAGCGTCAAGTTTCTGGAGAAGCAGCATTCAACTTTGGTGTGGACAAGAACTCAGATGCGGTTTTAAAGGAGATATAAAAGATGAGATGTGTGAAACGGATGTTTAGAAGAAGTTCTGCATCATGTAAATCTGAATAAGTCTCTGATAACAGTTAACAGTGGGATTCAGCGATTCTTTTAAAAGGATGGTGACATGTAGATATTTTTTGAAGACATTTTGTGTAAGAAACATATTTTTTCTACTATCAGAGAGAGTGCAGGGTTTCTGTGTTCACTAGAAGGTGTTTAAATTCTTTGTAAATCCTATTAGGCTTCTTTAACAGGTTATTTTTAAACTCCGGCTCGGGATGGGCAGCAGCTCACAAACCGATGGAGCTCATATATTACAGGCGTGTGAACATTTAAAAACACGTGTGCATTTGTAGCACGTATTTAGATTTGATGGCGTTCATATCTTTCACCTTAGAGTTTGTCATAACGACACTCTTTAAAACAGTCTTCTTCAGTGATATTTTTGCAGGATATTATAATCAAAATGAGAGTTTTTGTGTTTTTGCTGCTCATCCTAAAGTTTGAATCTGATCAGATCACAGAACACCACTTAATAGCTTATTAGCAATTAGTTAAAACTGCCGTTTTGTTTTATTAATGCCTTTATATTTACATTTATACTTGTTTTCCCAAGTTTTTTTAAAAAATAATTTTTCTCTCTCTGGATCTAGTCAAATAATTATTTGAAGTTAATTTAGCATTTATTTAGCTGCATTTATCTGGGTGTTTGATTGCTTTGTTAAGCATTAAGCTTTTTTAGTATTTTTCAGACACATCTTTCCACAATTTTTTTCTTTCTCTAGGTATCTTCAAATGATTATCTGACATTAATTGAACATTTATTTAAGTGGATTCATCTGGTAGATTTTTTTCATCTGGTAGACATTTGTTTCTCTCTCTGGATCTGTTTTAAGGATTATTTGACATTTATTATGCTTCATTTATCTGGGTATTTAATCGCTTCATTACACTAGCATTTTTAAAGCATTTTCTGACACCTCAATTTTTCCATCAGTGACATATTTGGGATTGACTCAGTTTACTATTTATTCTATTGGCATCTGTTTACATTTGAGGAGCACTTGATATTTTGGGACAGACCTTTTGGATTTGGTTTTAAGGATCATTTAAATCATATTTCTCGTCATGAGTCTAGGAAAGCTGCCGGCGATCAAAGGCCTGGTATCCTCGTCTCACGGCAAACGACGGTTTAAGAGTGACCTGTCGGTGGACATGATCAGTCCGCCACTCGGCGACTTCCGCCACACGATGCACGTAGGCCGCGGTGGGGACGTCTTCGGTGACACTTCATTTCTGAGCAACTACGGCGGATCAAGTAACAGCGATGGCCTACGGTACCCGGATTCACCCTCCGGCTCCAAACCGACACGTTTTTTGTCGAGAACGCTACAGCACGTACGAAAGACTCCTCTGCCCCGGTTGAGAGGAGGGTCACGTGACTTCTCGTCCCCTTTGCCGCCCATCTCGCCCATCATGAAAAATGCCATCTCTCTGCCTCAGCTCAACATGAGCAACGACGTCCTGATGAGGGCGCTGCTGCCCACCTCCACCATCTCACCGGACGAACCGCTCTGCTCCTACGGTACCAACACAGACACCAAACACATTTTATTTATATTTAGGGCTATCACGAACAATTATTTTGGTAATCGAGTAATCAGTCGATTATTCTGACAATTTACCGAGTAATCGGATTAGAATTAATTATTGAGGTAATAAAAATAGAACTAAGCAAAGCAATACACTTTAAAATGACTTAAAATACATATATAATAGAATTGAGGTAATAATCTAAAATCAAAAGCAAGTATGGTTTTACTGAACAAAAGTGTGAAAATATATAATGTTTTAAACAATAGAACTAACATACATTATGCATTATATCAAAGGCCTGCAGACGGCGCCAACGGCTTGACAATTGTTTTTACACTTTACAACGTGATCTAATCCTTCTTTAAAGGGGTCATATGATGCGATTTCATTTTTTCTTTTCTCTTTGGAGTGTTACAAGCTCTTGGTGCATAAAGAAGATCTGTAAATTTGCAAAGACTAAAGTCTCAAATCCAAAGAGATATTCTTTATAAAAGTTAAGAGTCAGCCACGCCCCCCTAAAACGACGCGTTCGAACATGCCCCCACATGTCTACCTCACTATGTGGGAAGATTTGCATAACGCCGCCCAAATGTTCACGCAAAGAAAGGAGGCGTAACTTTTATTCTCGCAGTAGTATTGTTGTCGCCGCCACCATGTCCTGAAGACGCTGTGTGCTTCGTTGTGAAAGCGAAACTACTTTGTTTGGCCTTCCAAAAGAGGATGATATCCGCTTCGTCATGCCTAGAGCTGATCCGTGCTGGTCGCTGAGGAAATACATCAACTTAGTGCTGTGGATCGCCGGATCGGCTTTCACCGTTTTCACCGCTCCTTCGCCGGAACCGCCGTTCTCGCCCCGCCGCCTCAGCTCACTCTTGCCCGACTTCAGCTCACGCTAACCTAAACAATATTTAATTCAAATGTCCACTTAATCTTTAATATTTGACCATTTATTTAGAATTGCTACAGCCACTGTCATTTCTTGAATATGTGGACATCAAAACGTGTAAACTCAGAGTGAGGGTTTGAGCTTTTATTTTGAAATCACAAATAAATAGTTATGGCCAAAGTATACTTCGTTTTTGTACGCGTATGCTAGTGTATACATACAGTCGAATGCGTAGCCATCAAAGTAGGCTATACTTAGTAGTTAGCATATTTAGAAAGATGATGTATTCTCCTGTATTGGCGTAGGTTTATATGATTTACCTTACAAATCTGATGAAATGGCGCACACTGCGTCCCCAGATGAACGTTATAATAAACCCAAACTCACAGCAATATGCAGAGATGGCGTTTGAGACACTCCACACATGTAAATGATAACTCTTTGTTTGGAGCAGAATTTACTGTGAACAGAGCTGCTCTGACACGCACATACGTAACCTACCCACATGTAAATACCGTATTGGCCCGAATATAAGACGACCCTGATTATAAGATGACCCCCCTTTTTCCAGATGTACCTATTGGAAAAAGTCTTTTTAAAAACCAAATCTTTTTTTTTCTCAGTAAAACACAGTTTGTCTTCAATTATTTTCATATTGCATATTTTTCCTATTTTAATTTTTGTTTTGAAAGTATGGTAAAAACTGGTCAAATGTACCAACAATCACATTTAAAAAAATACGCTTTTTGATATACCATTAAAAAAACAAAAAAAAAACAGGTAGCCCATCTGAATTAGTACATTTAGGCTATCCATCTAATAGTAGCCTACCAAAATCTTATTAACAGTAGAAGTTAAATCTTACTGTAGTCTTCAAATCTGGGTACTGTGTTACGTTTTAAAATCACAAAGGGAGTTTGGTCCCATCAGGCTAACGTGACAGTCACTACTCATGCAGCTGTAAGTTTTCTTTTTCTTTTGTTTTTACTCGCGGTCTTTACAACACGCGTTACATTACGTATTTCATGGCACCCTCGTTTTATGCGTATTTGGCGCCACCTATTGTTGTGGGTGTATGATTGACATGTCAAAGTCTAGACTCTAGACCCTGAATATAAGACGACCGTGTTTTTTCAGATGTATTTCCAAGAAAAAAACATTGTCTTATATTCGGGTCAATACGGTAATTAATGCGTATTAAACCTGCATATATTTATTTAATTGAATTGTAGTTTGTGAATTAACAGTGATATTATGCTTTATTATGATTTTTAAATGGGTTTAATATATCATGCGGCCTTGGAAATGGTCTAATAATGTGTTCATGGATTCTCGTCCGTGGAATGCTCCACTTCCGGGATTTTGCCGGCTACTCGACATGGGCAAAATGCAATCGAGGATTTTTTTTGTAATCGAGTACTCGAATTGAATCAAGGAATCGTGACAGACATAATTATCATTATGCTCATATCATTATATCATTGTTATCATTATATTTATCAATACAGTTGTTGCTATAGTTATTGCTGTAGATATTCTTATAATTAGCGTTATAGGTATTTTATTAGTTTTCATAATAGTTATCGTTATATTTATTGTTATAGCTATTATTATAATTTTGTTATCGTTATTACTAGTTATCATTCTATTTATTGTTATAGTTGTCTTTGTAATTATCTTTATAGTTATTGTTTTTAGGTATTGTTATCATTTTTGGTGTAGTTATCACTAGTTATCTTAATAATTATTGCTTTAGTTATATGTATAAAGTTATCACTATAGTTATCGTTATAGTTGTAATTATTATCATTAAAGTTAAATGTATAATTATTGTCATCACTATAGATATCATTATAGTTATTGTTATAATTATCATTATAGTTATCTGTATAATTATTTTTTATAGTTATCACTATAGTTTATTTTATTTCTTTCGAAATCTATGAGAAAAGCAAGTCCACACTACAACTATAATGATAACAACACAGAGGAACAATACTGCTGGAATCACTTTCAGAGCATTTTTTTCCAGCCGATGAATGAAAACGCATTAGCATACAATATGAATCCATCCTGCTATAAGGAGCACAAGTGTTTAAAGAAACATACATCAAAACGGCAACATACTTTTAAAATAAATGGAACGTTATAATCAGCTGATGTGAATGCTAATATAGTTATCATTATAGATATTGTTATACAGTAGTTAGTGTTATTGTTATAGTTGTCACTATAGTAAAAGTGTTGATTGTGTCACAGTTTTAGCCATGGTTTTGGGTGTTTTCGCCACCAAAACAACTAAAATTACATATTTGGTTCCGCACCAAACGCGAGAAATGATCAGATCCATTGCTGCATTAATAGTGTAAACACTCAATACACTTGTCCGTAGG